ACTCAGTCTTTATTTACTCTTATTACTTATTGGGTTGGAGTACTCATATTACTCCATGCACCTTGTGTGCAGATTCAGGTATTTTCTGAGCTTGGTGGCAGTTTTCATCGGAGTCAGCAAGGTAGTTGCCTGGCGATCGCGGCTTTGCTCTCTCCCTCTTTATTTTCCCTTATGTATTCTGGTGACTTTCCGACCATTTCGGTCTTGATGTGGTTAGACAGTTGTAGTAGATGCTCATGACTAGTGACACCCCGATGTTAGGCTTGTATGTTATTTCCGCACTGTTCATTTAGACTTATATTATGAAACATTTGTTTAATTAAAGGCTTTGAAATGACTATTTAGTTCTTCGAAAGATATGGGATTATCACGAGCGCGTATAACTGCTGAGATCTCTATATATTCTGCTCCAAGTTCGCTCAAAACTTTGATGACTAGTTCCTTATTTGTTAGAGGTGAGCCAGAGGCAAGCCAAATCATTCGCAATGGATTTAATTTCTTTCATGTAGTCGCTGATGGACTTGGAGTCTCACCTGATGTGTGAGAGTAACTCACGAAGGCCGAAAATTCTTGCTTTAGATTTGTTCGCATAGGTCGTTTGCGAACTGTCCCATGCGTTTTTCGCAGTAGCTTCCCATCAGTTTGATCGAGAGCTGCGATGCTGGGTTGAAGGAAATCAGTTGTGTTAGTTAGATCACATGTCCATGGCTGAAAATGGTTCGGGGTGGTGGTTCTTGAGTTTTCTCCCATTAGGCTTCAACTGGATGAAGGGAAAAAAGGTCGCAGACTTTAGAGTTGCTCGTGTGAGCTTACGGCTTCTGATACCATAAAACAGTGAAGATTTGGTGTTCCGACTTGTATTATTCAGTCATGTAAATGGGTATATTTATATCTGAAGAAGTACAATGGTAGTAGGAGTTTTGTAGAAGAGGGAGAGAGGTTTAGGAGATATATACAACAATTTAAATTCAAATGAGAATCTTAGCTCTGCTTATCCTTATCCTTATCAATTAATAGTCAAAGAACTAAATAAGAGTCTCAAACTCTTAGTTGCCATTGCCGAGTCAGAGTTGACAGATATGCGATACTTTGTCTAAGTGATGGTTGAAGAAGATTGTGGCAGAATTATCTATTTTTTTCTATTCGTGGAGCAATAAGTTGTAATTTGATGCTTTTAATTTTAAGGGAGGTATTTGAAAAAAAATAAAATTAATTAAGTTGACTATTATATATGAATACTAAACTACAATTGAATTTAACAAAATATGAAAGTAATAAATAAATGTAATAACACTAATTTAATTAGGGGTTAATTTGTAATTTCTAAGAAAACAAAAAATAAGGATAAAGAGTAATAAGCCAAAGGAAATGCAGTAGAAGCATATTAAAGAAACAGAATAAATTTCACATGCTGGAAGCAAATGGTGTTGCTACTCCAATGTCTACCAGTGAGCATCTAAGCATTAATGATGGAACATGTTCAGCAAATGTGAAGTTGTATAGACAAGTCATTGGCTCTCTTCAGTATCTTAGTTTTACAAGGCCGGATATTTGCTTTACCATTAATAAGCTTTCTCAACTCCAACATGCTCCATCAATTCGACATTGGCAAGTAGCTAAGCGCTTGCTCGGATACCTCAAAGAAACACTCACCTATGGACTTCTCATAAGTCCCTCATCCACTACCATACTTTAGTCGTTGATTGGGGCCGAATGCTTGATACAAGACACTCAACTTCAGCTTAAGTCATTCTTCTTGGTTCCAATCCTATCAATTAATGTTCTAAAAAGCAGGGAACAATTGCTCGCTCATCCACTGAAGCTAAGTATCGAGCTGTTGCAGGAGCTGTAGCTGAAGTAAACTGGATTGTTAGTCTCCTTAAGGAGCTGCATCTTCCACCTAAGACTCCGCCAAAAATCCTATGCGATAATGTTGGAGCCACTTATCTCAGTCGTAATCTTGTCTTCCACAGTAGAATGAATCATATGGCCATTGATTTTCATTTCGTCTGTGATCAAGTTGAAAGGAATCAAATTGATGTTCGGCACATTAGCAATGCCTCACAGCTTGCAGATGCCATAACAAGACCTCTACCTCGATGACCTTTCTCTAACTTTGTGACCAAGATTGGCCTCCAGTAGAGCCAATCTTGCGGGGGTATGATAAGGATAAGGATAAGCAGAGCTAAGATTATCATTTGAATTCAAATTATTGTATATATCTCATAAACCTCTCTTCCTCATCTACTAAACTCCTACTAACATTGTACTTCTTCAGATATAAATGTACCCATTTACATGACTGAATAATACAAATTGGAACACCAAATCTTCATTGTTTTATTAATATGCCCTTAACCTTGATTTCTGTCGTAAGTTTTTGTTAATTTTTGAAGTTTGAACACCCTTTTTATCACTGGTCCTTTTTTATTTGAGAAAAAAATTAGAAATTTAAAGTTTAAAAAATGGTTAAATCAAACACTTTCCCTTCTCGTAACACCCATTTTGTGAAAACAATATCTCCGTTTCGGTGCTTTCACTTTCTTTAAAACTTCTTTTTGTTTATACTTGGCTAATTAGCCATCATACTTATTAAGAATTCAAAGAGTTGCACATCGAATTTTATTGCTAGTAATTAGTATACAATGGTGTCTCTGTTGTACACAAATCCTAGGTCTGCCTCTGTTAATGTGTGTTTTTGAATTATTATAACTTGTGTAATTCTTTATAACTAGATTGAATTTCGTTTTAAAAGGCTTATTATAGTGAGTTCAACGCACAAAATTTCCTACATTTACCTTGCTACAAAGAGAGATAATAATCTAAACCAAACAGTAAGGTCTTTTTTCATTCGGTGGCAAGGGAAGGCTGCAAACCAAATCATTTGGTGCCTTTTCTTGTTAGTGCCCACAGTTCTATATCTAATTGTCTGAGCAATGTTAAGCCAAAACTTGAAATATATCATGCTTCCTGCCCATGAATCAAACCAGCCAACTATATGGTGATTTTATTTAGTGTCTCACAAATATATTATATAATACCTTAGATGAAACCTTCAAGAAACTATGCTTGAAATGATAATTTAATAAAGAAAGAACAAAGGAGTTCAAGAAATTCAAGTAACTTTATTACATAATATAAGTTGCTCTCTTGATATGTCCAAATATGTTATTGGAGTCATTTGGCCACTGAAATTTCTCCTAATATTTGATAGCCTATATTTTGTCTCTGAACTCGGGATGCAACGTATAAACTCTTGCACCTACTTGGAAGTAGTTATGTCATGTTTCTCAGTTGCTTCCAAAATGGAAGAGTTTAATGCTCTTCTAACTGTTGATTTGTGTGACTACAATTTATTATCAAAAAGAGATATACATTTTTGACAAATTGTTTCAACTTTTACATTGAAAAGTAACTCTCTTTCTTAATAAACAAAAATCATAATGTTTAAGCATTTTTTTCATATATCATTATCGAAACTCCAATTTGCTATTCAGCCTATACTTTCTTGGCAATTAAGTTTAACTTCAGTTTTGTTTAAGGTTGACTGAATTCTCCGTCCTGCTTTTCATGCCTTAAAAGCGATGGAACGATTTTAGCAGGTGGTTTCTTTTGGATATCACGTCATTTTTGAAATGTATATGTGAAGTTATGGATATTTTCACTATTTTATTTATAACGACCCAGAATTCCCACCTTCGGGACCGCGATGGCGCCAAATATTTCACTCGCTAGAAAAGCCAACGTTACAAAAATTCTTAAATAAATTTTTAAACAGTTCAACAAATAACCCAATTAAACTGAAATGAAACTAAAATGAAGTGTGAAGTAGCATAATAACCAACACATCTTAATATAACCTGGATCTAGAGTCACAAGTTCACGAGCTTCTAGAGGTTCTACACATAGAGTCTGGAATAAATACAACTGTTTCAAATGAAATGAACATTAATAGAGGAAAGAGGAAGGGAACTTCAAGGTCTGTGGACGCCAGTAGATCTACCTCGAGCTCCAGATGTGCTAATCCGAGCTGATGTGACTCACGTACAGCTAGGATCAATACCAAAATCTGCACAAGAAGTGCAGAGTGTAGTATGAGTACAACCGATCCAATGTACTCCGTAAGTGTCGAGCCTAACCTCGACGGGGTAGTGATGAGGCTATGACAGGACACCCACGTAATTAAGCATGTACAACGAAGATATATGTACAACATAACAACAAATAGAGAATTAAACAAGTACGATTGGGAGAGGACATGCGAAAGGGGGGCGAGATACAATAACTAGAACAAGAATGACAACAGGAGACAATCAAATAAACCCTCAACCAATGAAAACGGATAAACATAATGAATAAATATGGCACGGCACCACCCATCATGTTTTTACGTTCAACCTCACCATGAAATGATAATAATGTCACGACATCACCCTTCGTGCTTTTACTTTCAACATTACCATGAAATAATAATAACGGCACGACATCACCTTTCGTGCTTTTAAATTCAATCTCTCCATGAAACAATAAATATGATACTTCGTGCTTTAACCATCTTCCTCACCATGTATTAATCAGTAAATGAAGCAATAATTAGTACGACATCACCCTTCATGCTTTAACACTTTCCCTTACCGTGTAGCAATGAATATAAACATTTGAGAGATAAATTAAGCAAGAATAAACGTTATGTCAAAAATGATTCCAAAATACCAAACCTCAACTTCCAAAAAGAATACTCCATTATCACAAATAGTTCATAAATACGGAAAGAACATTCAATTAAGTAATAAACTAGTCTAATCATGGATATCATAATCAAATAAGGCAATAAATTACAAGGAAACAAGTCCCCCCTCCCCCCGCATGCTTTAACCCAACAACAACACATAGGTACTCGTCACCTCATATACGTTGTACCCACATATTTAAACACATAGCAAATAAACAAACAAGTCCTAATCCCTCAAGTCAAGGTTAACCACGACACTTACTTGGCTCCACAATTGGCTCAAAGTTCAACCACGGCTTTGCCTTTCGAACAAGCCTCCGAACCAATCAAATCTATCAAATTATTAACCAAACGATTCAAAATAAGCATTAGGAACTACCCATGAATGAAAGAGGTTCAACTTAGGTCATTATTGAAAAAGTCAGCAAAAGTGAACCCCCAGGACCGCTTGGTCTAAACCCAAAATTCGGACCAAAATCCGATTACTCATTCACCCCCGAGCCAGGTTATGTAATTTGTTTTGAAATCCGACCTCAATTCGAGGTCTAACTTCTAATTTTACAAAAATTCCTAATTCAACCCAAATCCCCAATTTCTACCATGAAAATCCTAGATTTAAGGTTGAAATCTTATTAAATATAATGGGTAATTGAAAGATAGTAGGTTAGAGTCACTTACCAATGAATCGAGGAAGAAGAGCTCTTGGCAAAACCACCTCTAAGGTTTTAACGGTTGAGAATTTGAAAGACTGAACTAAAATCCCGATTTTCCCTTCTTAAGTCCAAGCGCAGATGTCGCAATTGAGACCTGGGTTTCGGAATTACGAACCCCGCAAATGTGAAAAATCCTTCGCAAATGCGAAGTCTTCACATTTCTACTACCATCGCAAATGCGATGGTTTTGTTCGCAATTGCGAATTTGGGACTTCCACAATTGCGAATCGCAAATGCGAACCACTCCCCCCCCCCCCCAGTACTACTTGGCAAATGCAAACTACTTGTTCGCAAATGCGAACCTGACAGGAATCTTAACAATTCGCAAATGTGAACATGGACCTCACAAATGCGAGATTAGAGGCTACACCAAAAATAGTGTGATTACTCGATATGTCCGTTCAAAGATGAATGTTTGTTTTTGAGGTGGAGAATATGATGACCTGATAGGTCACTTTGAGTTTTAGCTTTCATTTCTATGTTCCGAGACCTCGAATAACTTCGTTTAGACTTAACCGAACATTTACTCACACTCATTCTTTTACAAATTAAAGATACCAATCCGTCGTACTCCAATGTGAGTGAAAATTTAACAATACTCAGCGGAGAACAACTATAATATACCGAGTTATTCTCCACCACAATCTTATCTGCCCAATATAATGCAGCCCTAAGTTTTTGCTCTTAAGACAATCTAGCAAAATTCAAAAAATATTTATGAATATGAAGTGATAAAAAGGATGTTGAAAAATTGAATTTTGCAGAATGATTTTTTGAAGAACGAATATGTGATGACCCGATAGGTCACTCTGAGTTTTAGCCTTCATTCTGTGTTCCGAGACCTCGAATAGTTTCGTTTAGACTTCTTTGATTTGCGTGCACAGTCCCTGTCTTGCCCCGAAAAGTTTTTATGTGAAAAATTTAAGAAAATGTGAAACTTTACTTTAAAACTCATAGGAGTTGACTGCGATCAACATTTTGTGTAAATGGACACGGATCGATATTTTAATCAGTCCCGGTGGTTCTGTATTGTGATTAGGGACTTGGGCGTGTCACGACCCCAAAACCAATCCGGTCGTAATGACGCCTATCGTGAAACTAGGCCAGCCGACACATTTCCCAAGTAGTTCAGTATTTCATTAAAACTTATATAATAACCTTTTCAAATGAAACTCCATAAAGATACAAAGTCCAAACCAAAATAAATGGGAAAAATAAAAGCCCGACCTCGGGTGTCACTAAGTCATTAGCAATACTACAATTTATCTCGAAATATAACAAGACCAAATTAGTTTGGAAATAGTCAAAGTACACTAGAAGGAAGATAGAGAAGGAGAAGGCGGAACTGCGATCGCCAGGAAGATACCTCGCTATCTCCATGATAACCCGCGACTGGAGTCGTCAACAGCCGCTACCGTGCCCTGAGATACCTGGATCTGTACACAAGGTGCAGGGGATAACATTAGTACACCAACTGAGTAAGTAACAAGTCCAAACAATGGACTGATAGGTAGTGACGAACTAGACCTCGGCAATTATAACACATTTAAATTGTACAGGAAAGTAGGCATGCTGGCAATTCAATATTTTTAACTTGACAGTAAAGCAAAATGCTAATCCGAACAATGTGAAGTATAAAGCTCAGTAAAACTCTACATGTCAATGCCAGAAATGTATGAAAATGCGCCGTGTGCTCCCACTCTCAAGTGCTCAACTACTCGGTACCGCATATGGCCATCCGACACAAGGAAATCCATCCCAGAATATATATATACAACACTGACCTCAGGTCAACCGGTACCGAGGAACAAGGGTAATCCAACCCTGAGGAGAAATCCATCTCCAGGTATCAGTACTTCGAACAAATCCATGTCCAGGGAAATCCATCCCTCAATAATATCATCCGCGCTCACTGGGGTGTATAGACTCCGGAGGGGCTCCATTCAGCCCAAGCGCTATAACAAGCCAATGAAGGCATAATCAATAATCTGCTGCAGCGTGCAGCCCGATCCCATAATTGTCACTCACATTCAGGCCCTCGGCCTCACTCAGCCATCACTCTCCAGTCTCATACACACGGGCTCACAATACCAAGAAACTAGCCTGAAACAATGATATGATGTGCCAAATAACAATAACCGAGACTGAGACATGCTATGATATGCATGAACAAGACTGAGTACAGAATATCAATGAAACTAAGATATGATAGCAAGAAACGACCTCTCGGGTCTCAACGGTATCGGCGTGGAGCCCTAACATGGTAATTTAGCATAATTTACAGCTCATTAACTTAATCACATAATCACTACACAGATATCAGCAAGAAAGAGTCACTAAGTAGTGCCATGGAATGATCCGGGCCGTAATTCTCACGGTGCACGCCTACACGCCCATCACTTGACATTTGCGTCACCTTAATATTTAATCATAGATCGTTCGGGGTTTCAAACCCTCAGAACCTAGTTTGGAAGCGTTACTTACCTCAAACCAAGCCAAAACTCTAGCTCGCGACGCCCTTGCCTCTCGACTCGGCCTCTAAATGCTCCGAATCTAATCAAAATCATTACATTATCATCAATACACGCTAAAAGAATGAAACCTACACGAAAATTATCAAATTAGACCAAAAATCCCGAATTTGGCTCAAACCCGGCCCCCGGGCCCACGTCTCGGAATCTGACAAAAATTACAAAACTAGAAACTCCTTTCACTCCCGAGTCTATACCTACCAAATCATCAAAATCGGACCTCAAATGGTCCCTCAAACCCTCAACCAAAACTCTCCAAAACTCAAGTCCTAACCCCTTTACTTCTCTCCAAATTCCCACTAAATTCCATGATTAAACAGTGGAAAAATCATCACAAACACAATTAATAAAGCTCAAGTAGCTTACCTCACTGATACCCCTCGATTCCCTCTTGAAATCACTTCTTTGAGCTCCAAACTCGTCCAAAAATGGTGAAGAATGGGCAGAAATTCGCGAAGGGGACCTTTTATACCTTCTACCCAGCGTTTCCGCATCTGCGGCCACCATGTTGCTTTACGACCCGCACCAACAGAAAATCCCTCGCCGGTGTGGTTTCCACTTAAACCTCAAAATCCCGCTTCTGCGGTCAAGCACCCGCACCAGCGGTCTCGCAGGTGCGGTCCCTTGTGCGCACCTGCGGTTTTGCCTGAGCTTCTCAATTCCCGCATCTGCGATCCAATTCTCGCTTTTACAAGTCTCGCGCCTGCGGTCCCTACTCCGCAGGTGCTGTTATGACAGCTGAAGGATATCTTCAGTACTTCCTCAAATCCCATCCTTGATCCGTCAATCTCCCGAAATCAACCCGAGGCCCTCGGGACCTCAACCAAACATAGAAACCAGTCACATATCATCATTCAAACTTATTCCAACCTTCGGAACACTCCAAACAACATCAAAACATCAAATCACCCTCGGATTCAAGCCTAAGAACTTCTAAACTTCCGAATTCCGCAAACGCTGCCGAAGCCCATCAAACCTCGTCCGAATGACTTGAAATTTTGCACACACATCACAAATGACACTATGAACCTACTCCAATTTCCAGAATTTCATTCCAACCTCGATATCAAAATTTCCGTTGTCGATCGAAAAACTCCAAATTTTCAATTTCGTCAATCCAAGCCTAAATTTACCACAGACCTCCAAATTACCTTCCGAACACGCTCCTAACAAAATCACCTAACGGAGCTATCCGAACTATTAGAATTCACATCGGAGATCTTCTACACATAAGTCAACATCCGATTGACTTTTCCAACTTAAGCTTCTAAATAAGAGACTAAGTGTCTCATTCCACTCCAAGACCACCCCGAACCCGAACCAACCAACACGATACGATGAAATACAACTGAACAATACATAAAGAAGTAGAAATGGGGGAAACGGGGCTGTAACTCATGAAACCACTGGCCGGGTCGTTACATATTCCCCCTCTTAAACAAACGTTCGTTCTCGAACGGGTCTAGAAACATACCTGAAACCTCAAACAGGTGTGGATATCTGCTCCGCATCTCCCGCTCGGTCTCCCAAGTAGCCTCCTCCACGAGCCGAGCTCTCCACTGCACTTTCACTGACGTTATATCCTATGATCTCAACTTTCGCACCTGCTGCTCCAGAATAGCCACTGGCTCCACATCGTAAGTCAAATCACCGTCTAACTAAACCGTGCTGAAATCCAATACATGAGACGGATCGCCAGTATTACTTCCGGATCATGGAAACATGAAATATTGGGTGCACACTCGATAAGCTAGGTGGCAAAGCAAGATCATAAGCCACCTCCCCAATCCTCCGAAGCACCTCAAAAGGCCCGATCAACCGAGGGCTCAATTTACCCTTCTTCCCAAATCTCATAACACCCTTCATGGGCGAAACCTTCAGTAGAACCTTCTCCCCAACCATGTAAGACATATCACGAACCTTCCTGTCAGCATAACTCTTTTGTCTTGACTGCGCTGTACGAAGCCGCTCCTGAATCACTTTCACCTTGTCCCAAGTATCCTGTACCAAGTCTGTACCCAAAAGCCTAGCCTCACCCGGCTCAAACCAACCTACTGGAGATCTACGTCGTCTCCCATATAAAGCCTCATATGGAGCCATCTGAATACTCGACTGATAACTGTTGTTGTAAGAAAACTCCGCGAGCGGTAGAAACTGGTCCCATGAACCCCCAAAATCAATGACACAAGCGCGCAACATGTCCTCCAATATCTAAATAGTGTGCTCGGACTGCCCGTCCATCTGAGGGTGAAAAGCTGTGCTCAACTCAACCTGAGTACCCAACTCTCGCTGTACGACTCTCCAAAACTGTGACGTGAACTGAGTACCTCTATCTGAAATGATGGAAACTAGGACACCATGCAGGTGAACAATCTCTCGGATATAAATATCAGCTAACCGCTCTGAAGAATAGGTAGCACACACCAAAATGAAGTGCGCGGACTTGGTCAGCCGATCCACAATCACCCAAATAACATCGAACTTCCTCAAAGTCCGTGGGAGTCCAACTACGAAATCCATGGTGATCCGCTCCCACTTCCTCTTTGGAATATCCATCTGCTAAAGCAAGCCACCGAGTCTCTGATACTCATATTTCACCTGCTGACAATTGAGACACCGAGCTACAAATCCCACTATATCTTTCTTCATTTTTCTCCACCAGTAGTGCTGTCTCAAATCCTGATACATCTTCGCGACACCCGGATGAATGGAATACCGCGAGCTGTGGGCCTCCTCCAGAATCAACTCCCGAAGCCCATCCACATTGGGCACACATATCCGGACCTGCATCCTCAATACCCCATCATCGCCAATAGTCACATCTCTGGCATCGCCGTGCTGAACTCTGTCCGTGAGGACAAGCAAATGAGGATCATCATACTGGCATTCTCTGATACGAACAAATAAGGAAGACCGAGAAACCACACAGGCTAAGATCCGCTGGGCTCTGAAATATCCAACCTCACAAACCGATCGGCCAAAGCCTGAACATCAACTGCAAGAGGCCTCTCCCCAATTGGAATATATGCCAAACTACCCATACTCACCGTCTTCCTACTCAAAGCATCGGCCACTACATTGGCATTCCCCGGATGGTACAAAATAGTGATATCATAGTCCTTTAGCCGCTCCAACCATCTCCGCTGCCTCAAATTGAGATCATTCTACTTGAACAAGTTCTGGAGGCTACGATGATCAGTAAACACCTCACAAGACACACCATAGAGATAATGCCTCCAAATCTTCAATGCGTGAACAATGGCAGCCAACTACAAATCATGAATAGGGTAGTTCTTCTCATGGGGCTTTAACTGGCGAGAAGCATAAGCAATCACTCTACCCTCTTGCATCAACACACACCCGATACCAACTCGAGAAGCATCACAATATACCATATAAGAACGTGAAGCTGATGGCAAAACTAACATTGGAGCTGTGGTCAAGGCAGACTTGAGCTTCTAAAAGCTTGCCTCACACTCATCCGACCACATGAAAGGAGCACCCTCTTGAGTCAATTTGGTCAAGGGTGATGCTATAGATGAAAATCCCTGAACGAACCGACGGTAGTAACCCGCCAAACCAAGAAAGCTGCGAATCTCTGTGGCTGAGGACGGTCTGGGCCAACTCTGAACCGCCTCTATCTTCTTCGGATCAACTTGAATACCCTCACTGGACACCACGTGCCCCAAGAAAGCCACTGAACTGAGCCAAAACTCACACTTGGAGAATTTTGCATAAAACTTCTCCTCCCTCAACCGCTACAATACAACTCTCAAATGCGCAGCGTGCTCCTCCTGACTATGCGAGTACACCAGAATATCATCAATGAATACTGTCACGCCTCCTTTTTTACTACACCCCCGAAAGGGTATAATAAAAGGAGTTTTTCCAATTAAAGGACAATCGAAACGGGATTTATTTATTTAAAGAATTCAGAGTCGCCACTTGGGAGATTTATGGTGTCCCAAGTCACCGGTTCAAATCCCGAATCGAGGAAAGGATGGACTCTGTATTACAGTCCGCGAACCAGAAATCCGGGTAAGGAATTCTGTTAACCCGGGAGAAGGTGATAGGCACTCCCGAGTTCCATGGTTCTAGCACGGTCGCTCAACTGCTATAATTGGCATAATATCTGATTTTAGTTCATGTTCAAAGCCTATGTGCATTTTTACTTTATAACCGCTTTTATTCATTTTAAAGAAGATTTAACGTTGTCTAAAACATATCTTTGGACCGCTTCACATGAAATGCACCCGTAATCCAAAATACATTTTATTCAACGTTATTAAGATTTGGATTTGGGTTACATGAAATGCACACCCGAGCACCTATCTCTTCTTCTAAATAATTCTACAATCATATATCACTTCAGTTAGTCTGTGAGGATTAACCAAAGAACCAAACACAATTTCCATGACAAAGCATAGTATATTCACCCACATTTGGCACATAATATCCCTTGAACTACAAACCACGCCAAAATGCTTCGGTATTCAATTAACTGAAATGCTATTTTTATACTAGATTAGGGGAACTTCACTTGGTTGAACTCAAATTATGAATGAACTTGCAGACAAGATGAGGAAATCGCAGGCAACATATGCCCATTTCATTGATATACTGTATATAGCTGATCTATTTAACACTATCACAACTAAAACAAGATAAGAAATTATCATTTTCGAAATCTCATGATGGTAGACCAAAGGATGAGTTTGAAAACAAAGTCTACTACAAATCAAATCCCAAGAACAGAAAGAAATCTACACTAAGCTAAACTATTGAGCTGAAAATTTACACCAACACAATATTCACACGAATTGAGTCAGAACAATCAAACATAAGCTTCCTCCATTTTTAACTATGAAGTATATGACAGAAATACCACAAATAACAGAGGGGGGAAATGAACCTGAAATAATCTTTTGGCTAACAAAATTCCAGCAACTACACAAATGAAGTTCACCGTAGCTATAACCGGATCTCGGAATCGCGATAAAAATCCAAACAGAATCAGGACCGGAAACCTTGGACGCGACCACGTCGACGAACTCGACTGTGAATCGAAACAACACTCAACTAAACCAGAAAAGGGTGAGGAATCACATCGTTGTTGAAATCATACGACGAAGACAAGCTTGTGAATGTGAATTTGTCCATGCACTCGCCAATGAATGAAGCTATCGAGTGTCTTAATTTCCCATCTTTCTCACTGTTTTCGTTCACTCTAAGAGCTAATCTCCTACTCTCAATCTCCTGTTCTGTTTTCCTTTGCCCTTTTTGCGTGCGTTAGCTTCAAGAGCGTGAGACGAGGGGGTCGTTCATTTGTGAGGTTCAGCGGCTGTTGGGTTCAGGAGAGATCAGGTTTCTCTTTCTTTTTAATGGTGAAGAAGCAAGAGTTCAAGGGGTCGTTTGGGTTGCTCCAACTCAGAAAATCCCTGAAGCTTTCTTAGGGGTGTGTTCTCTCGAAGAAGAAGGAATTCCGATTTGGAGGGGTCCTTTTTCACTGTTGCGGTTGTCCCCTCCTCTAATTAAGGTCTCTAGGTTTATTTAATAAGAAGGGTTTGGGTGTTGGGTCGAGTCGGGTCGACCCGGTTTGGACTGGGTAAGAAGATCGTCTAGTTTAAGTGAAGAAGGGATATTAAATTTGGGCTCACTCATTACATGGCCCAATTTCAAATCTAAGACCAAGCTCTTCAGCGAAAAATCCAAAAATGGCCAGTTTTTCGCCTGGTCAATCAAATGTAGCCACATAATCACCGGTCAACGAAATTTAGCCACTAATTTAGCACGGTAACATTTTGTTGACTAATATACCCCTGCTTTTTTTATTAATTTACGCGACTTCACCTTAAATTCTTCTTTTAACAAAACTTAACAAAATCTTCCGGCATTAATTTTCAAATCGAGTTATTAGGAAAATTTTCGCCGTCAATCTGTAAATCGAAATATTAGCAAAATATTTCGGCGTTAATCGAGGTATTTGCAAAATCTTCCGGCGTTAATTTGCAAATCAAAGTGTTAGCAAAATCGTTCTGCGTCAATCTGCAAATCAAAGTTTTAGCAAAATTTCCGTCGTCAATCTGCAAATCGAAGTAAGTTCTATCTAAAATTTGTCTAATTATTTAAATTTCTTCTACGATCAAGAATTCAAACCATAAAATTCAAAGTATCAGTAAAAAAATTTAATTTTTCGAATTTTTGATTTGTTTTTAATGCTTTAATTTGTGTTATTGTCTAATTTTCCCAATGTAGAACATAGCGCCAGTATAATTTGTTGCACGTTTCTAAATTAATATCTAAAGCGAAGATTTTTCCAGCTTATTATACTGGAAATCTCATAAAAAAAGCATTATAATTCACTTGAAGTATGTTTCGTTAATGTAGATATTATGTTATAATATAATTGAGTTTTGTTTGAATCCAGTATATTTTACGGGACATCACGTGTGTGTAAGCTTTTCCTCGAATATGTTATACTGGATAAGTTCTAAAACTAGAATATAATTGAGTTTTGTTTGAATCCAGAATATTTACGGGACGTCACCTGTGTGTAAGCTTATTCTCCAGTATGTTAAACTGAATAAGTTCTAATACAAGAATATAATTGAGTTTTATTTTAATCCAGTATATTTTACGGGGCATCTCATGTGTGTAAGTTTATTCTCCAGTATGTTATACTGGATAATTTCTAAGACTAGAATATAATTGAGTTTTGATAGAATCCAGTATATTTTACGAGACATCACCTGTGTATAAGCTTATTCTCCAATAAGTTNTTATTAGGAAAATTTTCGCCGTCAATCTGTAAATCGAAATATTAGCAAAATCTTTCGGCGTTAATCGAGGTATTCGCAAAATCTTCCAGCGTTAATTTGCAAATCGAAGTGTTAGCAAAATCGTTCTGCGTCAATCTGCAAATCGAAGTTTTAGCAAAATTTCCGTCGTCAATCTGCAAATCGAAGTAAGTTCTATCTAAAATTTGTCCGATTATTTAAATTTCTTCTACGATCAAGAATTCAAACCATAAAATTCAAAGTATCAGTAAAAAAAATTTAATTTTTCGAATTTTTGATTTGTTTTTAATGCTTTAATCTGTGTTATTGTCTAATTTTCTCAATGTAGAACATAGCGCCAATATAATTTGTTCGACGTTTCTAAATTAATATCTAAAGCGAAGATTTTTCCAGCTTATTATACTGGAAATCTCATAAAAAAGCATTATAATTCACTTGAAGTATGTTTCGTTAATGTAGATATTATGTTATAATATAATTGAGTTTTGTTTGAATCCAGTATATTTTACGGGACATCACGTGTGTGTAAGCTTTTCCTCCAATATGTTATACTGGATAAGTTCTAAAACTAGAATATAATTGAGTTTTGTTTGAATCCAGTATATTTTACGAGACATCACCTGTGTATAAGCTTATTCTCCAATAAGTTATACTGGATAAGTTATAAGACTAGAATATAATTGAATTTTGTTTGAATCCAGAATATTTTACGGGACGTCACCTGTGTATAAGCTTATTTCCAATAAGTTATACTGGATAAGTTATAAGACTAGAATATAATTGAATTTTGTTTGAATCCAGTATATTTTACGGGACATTACATGTGTGTTAGCTTATTCTCCAGTATGTTATACTGGGTAAGTTCTGCATAAACTAGAATATAATTGAGTTTTATATCAATCCAGTATATTTTACAGGAAATCACCTGTGTTTAAAATTTTCTCCAGTATGTTATACTGGACGAGTTCTATTTAGAGTAGCATATCGTTGAGTTCTATTTAGACTAGAATATAATTTACTGGACGTTTCCAGCTTATTATATTGGAAATCTCATAAAAAATGTATTGTAATTCACTTGAAGTATGTTTCGTTAATGTAGATATTATGTTATAATATAGTTGAGTTTTATTTCAATCCAGAATAATTTAAAGTACGTCACCTGTGTGTAATGTTTTTCTCCAGTATGTTATACTGGACGAATTCTGTTTTCAGACTAGATTATAATTGAGTTTTGTTTTAATCCTGTATATTTTACGGGACATCGCCTGTGTGTAAGCTTTTTCTCCAGTATGTTATACTGGATAAGTTCTAAGACTAGAATATAATTGAGTTTTGTTTTAATCCAGTATATTTTACGGGACATCACCTGTATGTAAGCTTATTCTCCAGTATATTATACTGGATGAATATTATATTTTTAAACAGTATAATTTCTAGATATCTAATTATTTGGGTTCATTAAATACAGGATGCATACAAATTTCTTGATTATTGCGTTCGATGGCAAATGGACAGCAGATTACAAGTACTTGGATCATAAAACGAAGCTCCTCCTGATAAATAATGGGACTTCATTTGAAGAATTCCTTAGAAAATTTTTTGAAGTTATAGAGCTTGACAACAAAAAGTTTCAAGCAATTGTATGGCTTAATATCAACCTAGGTACTTCTAAGGGAATAGAAGTGACAAAAGATGAAGATCTTATTATGTGTATGATTCTTTTAAAAAATGATCCATACTATAAAGATTCGAAATTTGTTGTCGAAATATCAGAAAAACCAGATCAACAACTAGAAGGTAATGCAATAATGGAAATTGATAATCAACAGTTATTGCACAGAAACACATATGGTCCGGAAGAGCAAGTGTTGCTGATATCTTAAGTTGAAGAAGAGCAGGAGAATCCAATTTATGATATTACAATGGAAAAAGAAATTGTAATTCCTGTGGAAGATCAGCACATTGAATCACTACAAAGTATTGAAGGAAGAAAAAGGAAAGGAAAAGGAAAGGCAAAAGAATCTCCATCAATAATATTGAAGGAAAATGCATCACTGGATGATGTAAAACTTGGTTCTGTTTTTCAAGATAAAAATGCCATGATTAGATGTTTTTGCTTAGCAGCTATAAAGGAGCATTTTGAGTTCTATGTTAACAGGTCAAGTAACACGAGATACTCTTTGGTACGTACTGATGAAAAGTGTACTTGGACTGTTCGAGGTTCAAGAATTAAGGAATCAACACCTTTTAAAATAGTTAAATTTCAGAGAACACATGAGTGCTCAGTTGATATTCGAAAATCAGATCAAAGGCAAGCAACTTCAAATGTGATTAGAGATTACGTGATTGACAACTTAAGAGACATAGCTACTGAGGTAAAACCTAAGTTTATCATTTCAGAGATGAAAAGAGCACATGGAATTGATGTTGGTTATGGAAAAGCATGGCATGCTATTCAAAAGGGGTTATCTTTGTTAAGAGGAACAACTGAACACAATTATGAGCAGCTGCCATCATATTTGTATATGATGGAACAAAAAAATCCAGGATCATATACAAATATTGTGAGAGATGAAGAAAACAGGTAAATTTCTTATTTATGATAAGCTTTCTTTCCTGTAAATTATACTGGGTGAGTTCTGTTCAATCTATTGTATTTTATTTTGTCTAGTATATTATACAGGATGTTAGTGGTTGCGTCCAGTATATTTTACAGGATGTGTGTATTGTATAAGCTTTCTTTCCTGTAAATTATACTGGATGAGTTCTTTTTATTTATTACTTTTTTTGAGTGATTTTTTATGTCCATTATTAAATACGGGACATAGTGGTTTAACAGTATATAACTCCAGTT